CCAAGAAATCCGCGCGGAGCGCCAACAGTTCATGCTTGTGTCGTTGTCGATTCTTCTACGATTTGTCTCCTGCCTCGCCTTCCGACTCACGGTGCGTCCTGGCGGCTCGCTTTCCTCGCGCGCCCGTGCTGCAGGCGGAGGGGGGCGAGTGCGAGTGAGCGAGTGAGGCCCATCGCGATGCGAGCCGGGAAACCGAAATTGCGAGCGCTTGCGAGCGAGCTTCTCAGCCTTGCTGAGATCCTTTGGCCAACGATCGAAATGGATCTGATTTAAAGGCTCGCTCCGATTCGCATTCCTGGCCTCAAGACATTCGTGTCCCAGGTTCTGGATCACAGTACTACCATAGAGACCACAACTGCATCCCCAGGTTCATAGCTTCTTCCTCGTGGCGTGAAAACGTCAAACGTGTAAAACCTATTCGGATATGTGGAAGTCTCGTGGATCCTATTTCTGCGCTTGGCGGATCAGTTTGTGGCGCGGGGGAAACCAGTGGATCCATATCTTTGTTCGCAAAAATTACATAGCACCCCGCAGTTGCGGATGAGAGTGCGGGGGCGGCGGGAACGTCGGCAGTCTGCGAGGCTCTGAACAAACCCGCCGCCGCAGGCGCCGAATTTTTACAAATTATACAACGAGCCCGCCGCAGGCGCCGATCTCTTCGATAAGGCAATGTGGGTGGGTCGCGGGGTGGGTCGCAGGTGGATCGCGGGCGGGTCGCGGGCGGGTCGCGGGTGGGTCGCGGGCGGGCGTGTGGGTCGCGGGTAGATCGCAGGGTGGGTCGCGGGTGGGTCGCGGGCGGGTCGCGGGTAGGTCGCTGGACGGGTCGCAGGCTGGTCGCGGGCTGGGTCGCGGGGGGGGGGGCGACGACAGCAAACAACAAACAACAACAATCACCACCACCACTACCACAACAACAACAACAACAACAATAACAACTACAACTACAACTACAACTACAACTACAACTACAACTACAACTACAACAATAGCAACAATAACAATGTTCGCTCCTATCTGCTCACGTGCCAATCAGTACGTATCGGAGGTGAGGGGGTGAGATCGAAGTGGAACGGAGAGCCCCCTACCGGGAAATCGGTTTCGGTTTCGTGTTCGTGCGTGCCGCGCGTGCGGGCGAGGCGAAGCTGCGTGGGCGGGCGAGATAAGTCTCCTGTAGCTGAGGCGCGGCCGGACAAAAGTCTCCCTTCCGGCAACCAGTGCCCCGCGGTGTCCTGCCAGTGTCCCGCTCGGGGGCCGGTGGCGCGCGGTGTCCCGCCGGTGTCCCGCCGGTGTCCCGTCGGTGTCCCGATGGTGATGATGATGATGATGATGATGATGATGATGAATGTTATGATGATGATGATGATGATGATGATGTTGATGATGATGATGATGATGGTGATGGTGGTGATGGTGGTGATGATGATGCTGTCCCGATGATGGTGATGATGATGATGTTGACGATGTTGATGATGATGGTGATGGTGATGGTGGTGATGATGATGGTGCCCCGATGATGATGTTGATGATTATGATGTTGCTGATAATAATGATGATGGTGCCCCAATTATGATGATGATGATGATGATGATGATGATGATGATGATGATGATGATGATGGTGTTGATGATCCTGATGATGTTGATGATGATCAGAGGATGTTGACGATGATGATGAAGATGATGATGATGATGGTGTCCCGATGATAATGATGAGGTTGATGATGGTGCTGTTGATGATGATGGTGATGATGATGGTGTCCCGATGATGATAATGATAGTGATGATGATAACGTTGATGGTGTCCCGATGATGATGGTGATGATCATTTTGATGATGAGGATGACGATGCGGTGATGATGATTTTGATGATGGAAGCCCAATGATGGTGGTGATGATGCTGATGTTGATGATGATGGTGTCCTGATTATGTTGATGATGATGACGGTGATGATGGTGACGATGAAGATGGTGTTCCGATGATGATGATGATGATGATGATGATGATGATGTTGCTAATGATGATGATGATGGTGATGATGATGATGATGAATAAGATGCTGATGATGATGATGGTGTCCCGATGATGATGATGATGATGATGATGATGATGATGTTGATGATGTTGTTCATGTCAGGATGATGAGATGCTGATGGTGATGCTGATGATGATCGTGGTGCTCCGATGATGATGATGATGATGGTGTCCCGATGATGGTGTTGATGATGATGACGATGATGATGATGGTGTCCCGATGATGATGATGGTGATGATGATGACGTTGATGATGATGGTGATAAGGTGATGATGATGGTGATGATGATAATGATGATAGTGTCCCGATGATGCTGCTGCTGATGATGATGCTGATGACGTTGATGCCGATGATGTTGATGATGAGGACGTTGATTGTGATATCGATTGTGATATCGATAATGAGATCGATAGTTTGACCGAATGTGAGATCGATTGTGAGATCGATAGTGAGATCGATAGTGAGATCGATTGTGAGATCGATAGTCAGATCGATTGTGAGATCGATCGAATGAAATATATCGAGTGAGATCGATTGTGAGATCGATCGAGTGAGATCGATCGAGCGAGACCGATAGTGAGATCGATAGTGAGATCGATAGTGAGATCGATAGTGAGACCGATCGAGTGAGACGTTGGTTCCTCCCCCCCCGAACCTCCTTATCACCCAAAGGGTGGTCGTATAGGTATCCCAGACCCTCGGTATTTGTCCTCGTCGTCTTCGATCGTAACCCCCTTGGGGGTATATCTTCCTTACCTGCCACGTGCATGTAGTGCAGCCCCCAAAACAAGGGAAGAGAAGACGGGTGGAAGGGGGAGGGAGAAGAATGGAGCACGAGAGAAATTAGCACGAGGGGTGCAAGGAGCAGAAAACAAGTGGTAGAACCAGACGGGCAGATCGGGTGGGCAGACCCATAGCGGGCAGGTCGGGAAGGCGGGCCCAGGCGATGAGGTCGAGCAGACGGATTGTTGAAGCGTGGGTCCTGCATGAATCGCGAGGAAGTCTCGAGCGATGACTCGAGGAAGTCTCCAGCGATAGCGCGATTCCCAAGTAAATCTTGTGAAAAGCTAAAGCGAGAGCGTGATTCGTGAGCGCCGAGGGCGCATCGTCTGAATAAGCTGCAAGGAAGTCCCACGCAAGAGCGCGATTGTGAGGAAGTCCCGCGCGAGAGCGCGATTTGGGAATACATTGTGAGGAAGTATCAGGCGGGAGCCGCTGTTGTTGTAAACCCGGGGCCAACAACACAGTTTGAGCCACGTGACCTTTCCTGATCAAGAAAGCAGGGTGCGAGCCCCAGGGGAAGCACTTTAACAATAATCATTCTTCAGTAGTGAGAGTTCAACAACAATAGCAACACCATCAATAGCAACAACAATCCGCACCGCAGAGCCTCATGTCAGCCATTCGCCCAGGGACAATGAATGACCGTTCGGCCTCCGCTCTCTGATTTAGTAATTCTTCATATCTGGGACCCAGGGGATATGAGACCCACGGGACACCACATGTGCACAACAAAATTTGATTATTACACGGGGATGGGGTTTCTGGATCATCATCAATCGCATCATCATCATCAGCAGCAGCAGCGTCATCATCGCCATCATAACCATCAGCATCACCATCCTCATCACAATCAGCATCAGCATCATCATTACCACCATCAGCACCACCATCACCATCACCATCACCATGATCAGCATCATCATCACCACCATCACCACCAGTTTGAGCGTCATTGCAGGCTCTCGCCCACTCCCACAACACCCTCATGACAACGGAAGCAGTGGAAGGTTCGGTTGTCATTGCAGACCCCGCCCGCTCCCTCAATTCCCCTCGTAGCATGGAGCAGCTCGAGCGTCGCAGCGGGCGCCTCATTCCACTCACGTCCCCCATAGCAATGAAAACCTCGACCGTCACTGCGGGCACCCGCGTGGCCTGCCGATTCGGCCTGGTGTGTTAGCGCAACACCGCAGCTTACGTCAGTTGTTCGCGCAGATGCATTCGGTGGCTATCGTGGACCCACCACGCTGCGCTTTATGTCGCTGCGACCAGCTCCTCTGAGGATCCCGATCGCGTGCTCAAGCCTGCCGAGATCGTGAGGGCCCAGAGGAGTTGTTTTTCTGCAGCGCGTCTTGGAAGCATCTACCCAGTCCTGGAGGATTTGTTCCCAGGGGCGGCAGGATACTGTAATGTCCCACAGTCGGTGTCTCTATCGGCTTACGTCCAGCTGTGCGGCTCGCAATTCCCTTGCACCATTGTTTGCAGCCCCCGTTCGTGTTGGCGCCCATCTCCCGCCGAGGTTTGCGTCCCTACCTCCGTCCGACGGGCAGCTCTTCCGTGCAATGCAGCGGCCCGATCACCCAGCCCGCTTCGAGAGGCAATGCTGGCGAGGCCACATTCTGCACCAGCCTCATGTCGTGTGGCAGAAGCGAGCTATCGTGTTTCTGTTGTGAGTGCCGCAGAGATGCCGAGGGCCTTCCGCGGCTCTTGTTTCGGGAGTGCACATCGATCGCACACGGCCGCCTCTCGCCCTACAGAGCTCAGTATAAGCCTTTTTGAAACTTCGGAGGCGCCCACCACTTCGAGTCGGAGTCAGTGGGTGAGGCCCGCAGCCAGAGTTTTAGTTTTGCGTCCAAGCCTCACTGGGCTCCCCGCCGTTTGCGGTCCTCTTCCTGTCTGTCAATCCTGGGCTTGCTTCGGAAGCTTGCCATCAGAGCCTGCTGGCCAACAAAAAGCCTACTCTTCCTCCACTGTCCTCCCTCCTCCTCCCCCTCCTCCTCCTCCTCCTCCTCCCTCCTCCTCCTCCTCCTCCTCCTCCTCCTCCTCCTCCTCCTCCTCCTCCTCCTCCTCCTCCTCCTCCTCCTCCTCCTCCTCCTCCCCCTCCCCCTCCCCCTCCCCCTCCCCCTCCCCCCTCCTCCCCCTCCTCCTCCTCCTCCTCGTCCTCCTCCTCCTCCTCCTCGGAGGGGAGGCCGTACGCCCCAGTCGGCGTTCTGCTGAACACGGTGGGCTCAGGCCGCCCCGCCTTTGGCCGACCCCCCGGCTTCGTCGTCGTCGTTGTCGTCGTCGTCGCCGCCGCCGCCGTCGTCGTCGTCGTCGTCGTCGTCGTCGTCGTCGTCGTCGTCGCCGTCGCCGTCGCCGTCGCCGTCGCCGTCGCCGTCGCCGTCGCCGTCGCCGTCGCCGTCGCCGTCGCCGTCGCCGTCGCCGTCGTTTTTGAGTGGGGACTGGGGGCGTCGTCGTCGCCGTCGTCGCCGTCGTCGTCACCGTCGTCGCCGTCGCCGTTGCTGTCGCCGTCGCCGTTGTCGTTTTTGAGTGGGGACTCGGGGTCACCACGCGGTTTGGGGACTTGAGCCGTTCTCTCAGGATGCTTCGGGCGACGGGGGGCTTCCGAGGTACCAAGACCGTGCGGTGGCGGACCGTGCGGCGAGGTCGCTGGGGGTTCCGAGGTCACCACGCGGTCCGTCACCGCACGGGTTTGGGGTCCCGATGTGTGGGGGGGGGGTGCAGGGTGACTCGACCGCTTTGCCGCCACGACGATCCCCGCCAGGTCGAGGGGGAAAAAGAAAGGTGCCCTGATTGCGGATCCGCCGTACTTTTTTGGGCGACGTCGCAGGTGGGGCGGAAATTCGCGCCCTATGTTTCAAGCTCTTCTCATGTCGTTTCCCGCCCTGCTTTGCCATCGTTGTTTCCGCCCTACTCTTGCGGGAATAGTCGCCTTATCTGTCCGAGGCGGAAATGTTCGCCCTATTTTTTCGCATCGTTCGGGGTGCATTTGCGACACAATGTTAAGTCGGAAAATCAACGAGGGTACAGTGGATTTGGAGTCGAGGTATGGGGGGGGCGCTCGTTTCGCAGACCGGAGTCAGGGTGCAAGGTGTCCGCGACCGCGTTGCCACCACGGGCACCACCAGGTCGAGAGAATGAATACGGTTACCATGACCAAGATGTCGTGGGATTTTGTCGACGCTACTCTTGGTCATGGTCCGTGCCGACCATCGCCGACCCGCGAGGATGATCCACGATGGCCAGGATGCACGATGAGCAAAATCGACAGCGTCGTTGTCGCGTTCAGGCTTGCTCATGGTCATCGTCTTCTCCCCCTCCGCCACGCAGGGCAGGGGGGGGGGGAGGAGGCGGGCCTGGCGGGCGGTCGTCGGCAGTCCCGCGGTCTCCTCGATCTGGTGCGATCGGCGGGCGATGTGGGCTCCTCGCTCGCCAGGGGGGGGGGGCGCTCTTCCCGGTCTCTGGCCATTGATTGAAGAGTGGAGCTTGCACCAAGAAAGCATGCTGTGGCTCGGTGGCGAAGCGGTGGAGGATGAGGCGGAGGAGGATGAGGCGGAGGAGGAGGACTAGAGTGAGCCCAGGATGCGTATTCTGGGTTTCTTAATAAGCGTGAGGGGGTACCCTCCCGACGGGGGTCAACCTCGCCTCGTCGTCGCGCCGCAACGGGGGTCCGGGCGCCCTCGGCGCGCGGTGGCTGCCTGCAACGGGGGTCGATGCGGGGCTGTCGGCGGGGGTGACGCCCCCGCGACGCTTATCAAGAAACTCGGAGCACACGGTGCTCTTCACACGCCCCCCTTCTGAGCATCTCTTTTCACTGCGGGAAGTGTCCCCTTGAAAGACGAGCGCCTCACGGGCTCCCACTCTCAAGAGGATCTGCCCTCCATCCTTCAAGTTGTCAGAAGCGCAATTCAGCGGCATCAGACGTTGGCCCCGCGAGGGCTCTCGCCGGCCGAAGCGGCCAAACATCGCCGCCCAATTGGCCCGGGGGGGGGGACCACCTCGAGGTTTTCGAGCCTCGAGGTTCGTTCGCTCGATCCTCGATCCTCGATCATCCCCCCCCCCTCACTGCTGGATCCTCGAGCATAGATCCTTGAGCCTCCTCGCCCGAGACACCCCAGGGAGGTGCCTTGGGCGGGGAGGCGCACCTCCCCCAGGGGACCCCCGCTCGCCCGTGTGTTGCTGTCCCCCCTGCACTTAAAAAACGTGGCGCTTTCGTGCCGAGCACCCTCGTGCTGTGAGTGCCCTCCCCCTCCTCCTCCTCCTCCTCCTCCTCCTCCTCCTCCTCCGCCTCCTCCTCCGCCCTCCTCCTCCGCCTCCACAATTACTCAATATGAATACTACTCTCCCTCTTCCCCTGATGGCGTCCAGGGAGTAGTAGACCCCCCCCGCGTACTGTTTTTTTACACCGGATTCCCGGGAGTTGGGTTTTCGCCTGCGTTTTTTTTCAAAATGCTGCTCTCGCTGAGGCGCCGGCCTCATTTCTGCTCCCGCATCGTTCCGAATCGTGCTCCCGCTGCAGCGTGGGCCCCATTTTCGGATCGGTGTTTCGCCTCCGTCGTTTAGGATGGCGTTCTCGCCCCAGCGCGGGCCTCTTTCTCGCGCGCCCATCCGCCCGCCACCACCGCGCCGCACCACGCCCCGCCCCGCCGCACGCACACCCATCGCCACTTCCACCCACCAACGCACGCACGCACGCACGCGCACCACCACCGCGCACCGCCACCATCACCGCACTACCCCACCCACCACCACCACGCTACACCGCGTCACACCACATCATACGCGCGCACACACAGACACACACACACACACAAGCACGCACACAGACACACACACACACACCACCACCGCCACCACCACCAGCGCCATCACGCACGTACGCACTTGGCCCACCACCAAACCACCAAGACGCCACACCACGTCACACCACAGCACACGCGCACACACGCACACACACACATACACACCACCACCACAACAACCACAACCACGCACACACGCACGCACGCACGCGCACCACCACCCACTACGCACACGCGCGCGGAGCCACAGGTCCGCTACGACACGCGTCCGCGGATAGAGAAAATCAGCGCCCTGGTAAGGGATGGGAGGGAGGGGTAGGATGTCAGATGTTGACGCGAGCGCACCTAACTTGTCCTCCTCCCCTCCTCCTCCTCCTCCTCCTCCTCCTACTCCTCCTCCTGCTCCTCCTCCCTCCCCCCTCCTCCTCCTCCTCCTCCTCCTTCTCCTCCTCCTCCTCCTCCTGCTCCTTCTGCTCCGCGGCCGCCCTCTGTCTGCCAGCCCCTCTCTCTCACTCTCTCTCTCTCTCTATATATAGATATATCTGTATCTATTCATCTCTCTCTCTCTCGCAGCCTGACAATGAGTACGCTCTGCCCCAGCTGCTGGAGCGCGCGAGCGGATGGCCCCTGGCGCGCCGCGACGAAGAACTGTAAGTTTGGAGCGGTAGCCCCGCTCCCCCCTCTCCCCGTGGGTGGTCTCAGGCTGTGGCGGTTGGGGAGCGGGGCTCCTCCCCCCGCTCATCACTAGCATGACTCCAATAGAAAAACGACTTAGGGTTTTTCTGACCGCGCCGTCGTCGGTTCACTTTCGGCCAAGGGGACTAACGGGTCGGGCGGCCGCGCCGTCGTCAGAATTCTTAACCCCTCCTCTTCGCTGCAATATCCCCGCAGTTCCCCATGTGGCGGTCGTCAGTTTTTAGTGACCGTCTCTTAGTGGTGAGGGAGGTGTTTCCGTCAGTTTTGCGACCCCCCCTTCATTTTTCCCTGGTGAGTCCACGTCGTCGGTTCTGACGGTTCCTGGATTTGACATTCATGATTCCCCCGTGTGGCGGTTGGGGAGCGGGGTTCCTCTCCCCGCTCCCTTCGCCCGCGTTCTGCTCTGGATCTTGCCGCTGCCGAATGGGCGAGGACTGACAGGAGATCTCCTGCCCGCCGGGTGCATTCGTGGCCCGGCGCAGCGGCGTGGACATCACGCGCTGGACGCGCGCGGCCCTCCGTCGTCGCCGCGCCGTGTTGCCAAGGGAAAAAGTCGTGGGACTCTCGTGGCCACGACTGGTCGGAGTCCGAGATGCTGAGGAACCTGGCCGCCCTCATAAGCGAGCCAGGGCTCAGCCACGCGCAGAAGGGGGGGTGGGGGAGGGCTTCTTGGAAGCACCCCTGCTTCTTCGAAGGCGCGGGCCTGATCTACAGATGTAAGGCCGGCGCCTTCTAAGAAGCAGCCTCCTTCTAAGAAGCCCTCACCCCTCCCTCCACCCCCGTGTGCGCGCCGCCAAAGGGCCACAGTCCAACGAGGGGGACCTGACCTTCGGCTCGACGGCTGCAGCCCTCCCCAAACGCACCCCACCCCCTAGACCCCCCCCCCTGGGCGGAAAGGGGGCAGACGGAAGGGGCTCCCCGTCGGATCCACTGCGCCTAGGGCGTCGGTTCCTTTCGGGGTGGCGGGATTGGAGAGCCCGCTTGGCCGCAGGAAGGCGTGCAGAAACAATAGGGAGCGAGCCGGGAATGGAAAAGCTGCTCCCACGACCCCCCCTGCACGACTACCCGAGGACTCTCCAGCACACACGCCGACAGGACTGGCGGAGAAGGCGAGTGGAGGAGGGTGGGCATGCTACAGCAGGGGAAACTCCACTTCGATCCGAGGGGCCACCAGGCCCCTTCTCCGCGCCATTCAGACAGGTGTCCTGCTCGAGAAGCAGGCGGGCGAGAGCGAGATGCGAGGCGCCGCGCAACCGCCCCCTGGGCAGAACTATCGCTAGATGTTCCATTTACTGTTGGTGTCGAGTGCTGGGCAACCTGTATGGCCTCCTCCTCCTCGTCCTTCCAAGGCTCACATGGTCACTTTCGGAGTTGGACTAGAGTATGAACATGCATGTGGTTTTCACGCTTACCGCTTCATGCTTAAAGTTTGTCTGATGGTGTTGTGTTGCATGTCTTCTCCTGTCGAACTCTCAATTAGACATAGTGACGCTACGGGGTCATTTGGCACGAGGGTGGCGAAGCAATCCAAGCGCTGGCAGGTAACATTAGGCGGGAATGCAAAACTATGCCACACCCGAGCAAGAACGCTCAATTGGTATCACGGAGGCACACGCTGTGGAACGATGGCAGTATAACCGTACATCGACAGGGGAGCTTTGAAATGCGTGTCGCAGTCGCTGTGAACTTCGTACGCATCTCCATAAAAAACGACTCCATGAAGGTCCCAGCTTGTACGTTGTTTCACCCCTCGTTCCTCTTTCCCAATTCCTTCTCTCCTCCTCCTCGTCCACTTCCCCCCACTCTGCTCTGGAGCGTCCATGGATTGCCCTCTTCGCATTCGCCACTCCTACAGGGCGCCACAAGTCTTTCCAGCCGCCACCACGAAGGAGGAGGAGAAGGAGGAGGAGGAAGGGCAAAGGGGAACAAGGAGGGAGGGGTAGAAGGAGGAGGAGGACCAGCACACGTAAACTCAAGACGCAACATTGGTTATAAAGTACAGGAATCCCGAGTTTTGCGAGCACACCTCCCCACCACGGAGAGCACCCCGTTGGAAGACGAGCCCCTTCGTTGGGTTGACAGTCGGGCGAGCCTTCTGTGCTGTGCAGGATCGGTCTTGCCCTCTGCTACCTACAAGAGCAGCAACAGCGTGAGATCACACCGCTCGAGGAAGCGTTCCGTTAGAGCCCCGTCTTGAAATGGAGCCGCCCTCCGTGTAGTTGCTGCACGTGTCCACACTGTGTGTGTTCGTGTGTGTGTGTGTGTGCGTGCGTGTGTGTGTGTGTGCGTGTGTGTGTGTGTGTGCGTGTGTGTGTGTGTGTGCGTGTGTGTGTGCTGCCTGATGTGTGTGTGTGCGTGTGTGCGTGTGTGTGTGCGTGTGTGCGTGGGTGCGTGTGTGTTGTGTGTGTGTGTTGTGTGTGTGTTGTGCGTGTGTGTCGATCAAAGCTGGGGGGCTCTCGGGCGAGAGCCCCACTTCCCCCAAGCAGTGCCCGCACCGAGGGGCTCCTACGCTCCCTGTTCACGGGCAGTCGGCCGGCGCTTTTGTTCCAGGCGTCGCCCGGTGGCCGCCCGTGGCCGCCTCGCCGTTTTTGGGCCACGCGCGGCGCACGCCCAGCAGCCATCGGGCGCCCCTCAAGGAGGGAGGAGGGAGGAGGGGGAGGAGGAGGAGGAGGGATGAGGAGGAGGAGGAGGAGGAGGGATGAGGAGGAAGGGGAGGAGGATGAGGAGGAAGAGGAGGAGGGATGAGGAGGAGGAGGGAGGATGAGGAGGAGGAGGAGGAGGAGGAGGAGGAGCGGAACCCCCTTGTGGAACCCTTCAGGACGTCAGCGTCACCACCCTCGGGCGCGCGAAGATGGGCGCGCTGCACGCGCGTCGCGGCCCTTTTGGCCAGAGAGCTGCCCTTCTCCGAGGAGGCACCGCCGCGAGGCCGCGAAACCGATCGCGCGCTGCGGGCCCCGATGCGCGAATGCAGGTGGCCGAGGCCACAAGTGCAGTGGAGACCCGTGCCAAGAAACACCCTGCTCGCCTCCAGGGTGCCCTGCATTCTCTTGGGTTTCGATGGTTCTGTTATGCAAAGCGTGACGTTCCCACACCAAGAATCAATGAACGTGCTGGGGCCTCAGGGTTGGTTTTCTTGTGGAAGGTCTTTTGTGGATCGGCCCCCAATGTGACAACATGCGGGCCACGTGCGCGCGTTTTCGCGCGCGCGCAGGTCGATTTGTCCCCCAAGCATCTCAACACAGACGTGTTCAAGCACATCTGGGGAAAAAACATGTCTCAGCAATCAGCCATGCGTTCGAAGTTATAGATGCATGCGGCGCTTACTTCCTGATCATCTTCATCATCACCATCGTCGCCATCGCCAGTGTCATCATTGTCATCGGCGTCACCATCATCACCAGCAGCATCATCCTCATCATTAGCATGCGCATCAGCATCGCCATTGTCGTCATCATCGTCATCATCGGTGTCGTGTCGTGGTCGTCATCATCATCATCATCAGAAGCACCACCATTACCATCGCCAACATCAACAAAATAATCAGTCTCATCCTCCTTGTCATCATCAACATTATCATCATCACCCTCGTCTTCGATGCCGTCGCCACCGTTACCACCCGCCCGCCCGAGTCACATAACTGCATGAACAGGGTCGCCCCGTCACTGTGCCACTTGAAACTCGCTAGCCAAAGTCGATAAGTATTTGCGTTCACGGTCTGTATGAGTAGTATCACAACTTGCGGGTGGAGGGTGACATGCGTGCACGAGTAGTGGAGTTGACGATTCCAAATTCTTCATAACGACTTGCACCAAGTCGATTGCGCCCCGTAGTTTGCACCAAATACCACACACCGCATTAGCTTGTAACACACGGACTACGTCCTGTATCCGTATTTTCTAGAGTCGAACGAGTACGGCCATATGTTCTGCGCGACCACCCGCCTTAGCTGTCAACTATCACCATGCGCAGGAGATAAGTATCGCCCCCCCCCACACACACATACACACACACCACCATCCGTGTCAAGTGAGTAGTGCCACTCGGAGTGTACGCGCTGATCTAACGAGTGCGTCGTGTAAAAGCCCGTGTCAACCAACATGCGTTCCACAGGCGCGCGCCCATGCCAAACTCATCACGAGCCTCTATTTTTCGAGCGGTCCAGACGCCAGCTATTCAACGCCACTATTCCCCCAGTGGCAGATGCCACAGTTCTGCACGAGGTCGCATTTGCAGAAACCATGTGGAAATAAGGGCTTTGCAAGTTCGGCAAACGGGGCCATGTGGGTCGGACGCCCGCACATGTCGAACATGCGCACGGCGCCAAATAAGGCCCCGCGGGCCACTCGCGTGCGTCTCCGCGCGCGCGCGTGTGGGATGCATCGCAGAAGTATGGGTGACCCCAGCAATTCAGGGTCGATGTGTTCAGAGCATGTGAGAGCCAGTTGAGATATGTTTGAGTTTCTGCGCGTGCGCTTCGTCGTCGTTCTCGTCAGCACCATCGTTGTCGTCATCGTCCGTATCATATTTTCAATCATCATCACCATCATCAGCATCATAATCATAATCAGCATTACCATCGCCATTGCCATCGCCATCGCCTTCATTACAATCACCATATTCGTTGTCAACACCATCGTCATCATCGTCAACGATGTCGTCGCCATCGTCGTCAGCGCCATCAGTATCATTGCCACCATCGTCATCATTAGCATCCTCGTCGTCATCATCGTCGTCGTCATCATCGTCATCATGATCACCATCGTCTTCGTCACGATAATCATCATCATCCGCATCATCATCGTCGTCATCACCATAGTCATCATGATCATCATCGTCGTCATCATGGTCAGCGTCATCATCGTCGTCATCATCCTCGTCGTCATCATTGTCATCATCGTCATCATGATCATAATATCCGTCGTCGTCACGATCATCATCACCACCATCATCATCATACTCATCATCACCATCATCATTATCATCGTTATCATAATCATCATCATCGTCGCCGTTTCTGTTGCCGATGTCGTCCTCACCATCGCCAGTCGCCCGCCTGGGCCATGTATCTGCATGAGAAGGGTCCTCGCATCACTGCGCCAGCTGAGTTGTGCCAACAAGTTGCGGGTCGGTGAGTGCAACGTTTCTCGAACAGTGGAGTTAACAACTTGAATACTGTCAATCTCAGTTCTTCAGATGTACCGAATGAGACTCTACCCCCTGCCGAGGCCGGACTTATCCCCTCGCCCCCGCGTATTGTGTTTCAACATGGCAGGTTGCACGATCGTTGGGTCAACACATCGAATAATGGAATGCCAGCCAGCCCACGCGTTATCGAATCCCCCCCTCATTCTTTCGCGGTTTCCAAGGCCACTGCACAACCACAGTTTCTTCTTTTTATGCCCCCCCCGCGGAGAACGGCGGCAGCGGCAGGAGAAGGGAGAAGGGAGGGCGAGGAAGGAGACGGAGAGGGGGGAGGAGAAACACACTGTAATCGAAACGCGTGCCATGTTTGGTGATCGTTTTCTTACTCATTTTTTGCCGATCGGCGCGGGCCCTCGTCCCCCCTTCATCGTCAACATCATCACCATCATCAGCATCATCATCGGCAACATCATCAGCATTATCATCATCATCATCATCATCATCACCATCATCATCATCATCATCATCATCTCCACCTCCATCTCCATCAACATCATCAGCATCATCATTGTGATCCTCATTATCACCATCGTCGTCGTCATTATACCACGGCCGTCATCACCGTCATCGTAGATGTCGTCACTGTCATCAAAATTATGCGCGCGCATTTCCTCATCATGCTCACCAGCACCATCGTTAGAATCACTGCAAATTTCATGAAAGCCACCGTCATTCTCATTACCACCAGCTTCATCACCGTCACCATCGTCGTCGTCGACATCGTTCCCACAGCCACTAGGAACATCATCATCATCATCATCATCATCATCATCATCGTCATCGTCATCGTCATCGTCATCGTCATCGTCATCGTCATTGTCATTGTCATCGTCGTTGTCGCCGCCCAGTTCAGCCGTTCGTCGTTGTGATTTCGGGTTTGCTTCAGTCAGCTGGCTGCAGATGGCATCCCGTAGCCGTCTGATTCTCGATGATGAGCGCGTAAGCGCGAAGCACTTCTATCCGCCGTGGTTCTCCAGCCAGCCAACAGCAACCCAATTACGTTCGCGCGACGTTTTTTTATACGCCTCTTCTGCGGGTTCGTGGGGGCCGACAGTTGACTTTGCCAGCACGTTTCGGGTGGGTGGATGGGATCGTTTCACTGGCTTTGGAGGTGGTCACGCGCGGATGCTGTCAATTCTACTCACAGGCGGCTTTTGATACATATTGCAACACGAACAGTGCATCTCATGAGTTGTAGCGCATAGCGGGCACATCGAGTGCAAGAACTCACTGCTTGGGGTCCACACTGGCAAACATTATTGGAAAGCGCTCTTCAATTCCTGGTCATCAAATTATAGGGTAGCCCCAGCCAAGAGGCCCATGTTGGAAAGGAGCTGCCCTCAGTCCGTGAAACTGCTGCGAAAGTTTGACACGAGTGCGCGCGCCGCTACGGCGAGAGCCACATGGTGGAAGCCATGGGCCCTCCGTCTGTGCAGGCAGCGAGTGCGCGCGCGCTGCTCAGGCGAAAATCGAATCTGAAGCGCATGCGTCCCTCATCCCTGAGGATGTTGACCGCTTTCAAGACAAGTGCTCATGCGCTCTCCATCCGAGTACGGGATGCTGCAGGTTTTGAGACGAGCGCTTCCGACACTGAGGCGATGATTGCAGTCTCTGGCGAAACGCCCGGGCCGCCTTACAGACGCGTCCGGTGTTAGCGACGAGAGCGGGGTTTATTTCAAAAAAAGGAGGGAGGGGGAGGGGGAGGGGGCCAAGTCAAGTGCGAGAGGGTGGACGAGAGGGAAAGAAGGAGCAAGATGAGAAAAAAGAGAAGGAAGTGGAGGAAGAGGAAGAGGGAGCAGGAATGAAGGGGGGGAGGAGGAGAAGGACGAGGAGGAGGAGGAGGAGGAGGAAGAGGAAGAGGAGGAGGAGGCGGAGGAGGAGGAAAGGGATACGGAGGGAGGGAGTATGTGGGAAGAAGCGGAAGAGAAGGAGGAGGAGGAGGAGGAGGAGGAGGAGGAGTATGCAGTAAGAAGCGGAGGAGGACAGAATCAACCCGGGATATGTTCCTCTCCGCGCTTTCTCATTTCCTTCAGGGCGCCGTTTCTTGCCGAGGCCTGCTTCGTGGCACTGGCACCACGTACACCGTGGTGCGCCCTGGCGGGCTCAGGAAGGCTCCGCGCGGAGAGTCTGCCCGCAAGGCGAGGGAAGCAGCGACGCGGACCGGGCTCGAGACGAAGCAGCATGAGGCAGGGAGCCTCACAGCCAATGCCAGCACAGGAGCGAGGTAGAGTGCGGAGGAGGGTTTGCATTGGCGCGTCAAGTTTCATCAGCTTCGGAGGACGGGTCATAGGCTCGAACCGCTGTCCAAGCCACGGCCGTTGATCATAATGGGGGGCTTCTGACATCACGAGGCCTACGGCATACTCAATCAAAAGACGGGGCATCCAACACACGCATGTCCGTGACCAACTCTTGTGCAGGCCTTTCGCATGGGCCATTTTGCAACCCCCTCCTCAGTGTTGACACGTCCGATGGGCAGCAAGAAGAGGGATTGCCTCGTTGGCTGCCTTGCTGGCTGTCTCCTCCCTCGTCGCTGTAGCGCAGATCTGGGTGGCGCAGTGACGAGACGGTGTCGACTCCCAGTTTCGCCACACAGCTGTCCAGCAGGGGGGACAACGGCAGGCCCAGGGCTGTCGGCCACCCACCCGAATTGGCACTGAAGGAAAGAATGAAAAAGAGAAAGGGAAGCAGACGCGCGACTTGCAACAAATGACCTGGAGGGTTTCTCCGAAGGGCTTAGGCGACCCCTCCTCCTCCTCCTTCCTCCTCCTCCTCCTCCTCCTCCTCCTCCATCTCCTCCTCCCCCTCCCCCTCCTCCTCCACCTCCTCCACCTCCTCCTCCTCCTCCTCCTCCTCCGCCTCCTCCTCCTACTCCTCCTCGGGTCGCCTACGGCCCCGGGGGAAAGCGTGTACCCTCGACCCGCGATTTGCTGTCTAGGTCGGCTGCCTCGTTCCCTGCCTCGTCGGTTGCGTGGTTGGCTGCCTTGTGTGAGCTGCCGCGTTGGCTGCCTTGCTGGCCAGGGGAAGAGGAGCGAGGCCCTTACGGCCAGTGATGAAACGTAAAAGGTCGATTCCCAACTTGCCGCGGTATACAGGACGATGAAAGGGAAGAGGCTTCCATTTGCGATGACGTCGTGGCTCCTCTGCCAGGACACCTGATTTTTGAGAAACGATGGCGTCGTGATTTTTTCTTTGGGAGGCCATCTCATTTTTCGGAGGCTATCGTTGACGCTGCCTCTGGGCTGATTGGGGTTGGCGCAGCAGCCAAAGATTCTCACACACGCCAATGGGGCTGGCGGATTCCGGCCTGTCGGGGCCCTGATGGGGCGGTTGTCCTCGACCACCTTGGGCCATTTCGGGGCTATTTTGGGGCTGTCTTGGGAGCACCCCTCAGCCTGCCACCCATTGATCTTCTCGCCTTTGGGTTCTCGTGGAGCCCCCGCGAAGCGCTCCTGAAGGCCCCAAGATCGCACCCAGGAGCGAAGCCATCTCTGATCCGACCTTGCTGGGCGTTGCCTGAGACCTTGCCAAGGGTTTCCCTGGACCTTGCCGGGGCAGTTTTTGTTTTACATCCAGGGGTTCCAAGGGTTGCCACGCTCGCGTTTAGAAATAATTATGTTGAGTCCAGCGCGCCCTCTGCCCGTTGGCTCGGTGATTTGCTTCAAAAAATCCGCTTGTTGCGGGCTGGTTGTGGAAAAGATCGGCGGCTCGGCGGCGAGCTTCTTTGCATTAGCTCTCGAACCTTGCAGTCCACCCACGCTGTTCGACAATTACTCAACGCGGAGAACCTCATATGTGCATGTTATTGTCCTGGCATGTCTTTCTGTGGGTGCATGTCAGTGGGCGTCTGTGTGAGAGCGAGTCGCTCGCTGGAGACGTCCCCGCAGTCTGCAATTCTGAGTGCGGGCGAGTCGCAAGTCGAAGTGCAAGTGAGTCGAGTGTGAGCGAATCTGAATGCGAGTGAGTCTGAATTTGAGTGGTTCTGATTGTGAGATTGTAAGTAAGACTGATAAGTCTGAGTGTGAGTGTGTCGCAGTGTGAACGGGTCTAAGACTGAGTGAGTCTCAGAGTGAGGTCTGAGTTTGAGCGAACATCGGCATGATGGGTCTGATTGTGAGTGAGCCTGAGTATGAGTGAGCCTGAGTGTGAATCTGAGTATCAGCGAGTCTGCGCATGAGTGAGTCTGAATGTGGGTGAGGTTGAGTGTGAGTGAGTCTGTGTGCGAATGAGGAAGAGGAAGCGGGGGAGGGGGGGGTGAGGCGGAGGCGTCTAAGTCAAACCCTCTCTGGCGGCTCTCACTTGGGATGCGGAAACAAGCGCCTCGTTCGAGACATCTTTTCAAGATGTCTGCTCGCACATCCTCCTTCCCCTCCCTCCTTCTGTTCCCTCATCACCCCTCTCCTCTTCCGTCTTCCGTCTTCCTCCTCCTCCTCTTTCTTTTCCTCTTCCTCCTCCTCCTGCCAGCGCCTTGCACATCCCCACGCTATGCTATGAAAGCGGCGTCTTGCTCGAGACATCGTCACACTTTGATGTGAAAGCGCACAAGCCCGAGCCACCACACAGGAAGACCGCGGGAGGCTTCCCCACAAGTTGGGCGCGGAAACTGAAGTGTGCCCACCCCCGGCGGCTCCCTTGCGGGGTGCCCGTATGCCACCCTTGCTATATCGCGGTGGGCATTGAACCAGGGAACCACTGGGGGGAGGGGCAAACACGGGAAAATTGTTGTGAAGCATCCCTAGGGCCTGAGCGCGAATCCTCGAGTGTCCCCGTCCCTGGCGGCTCCACCTTTCGGACGCACACAGCACCAGTATGAATCGGGCATGGAAGTTGCATGGTGGATTTGTTTGGAAGAATTCCCAAGGGCATTCCGCACCTTATGCGTCGTTCTACATGTTAGGGTGCTCTGACGCGACTAGACCCGCCATCGTTTCCCATGTGGGTTTAAACCATGTTGGGCGCGTTGTTCTTGTTGGAGTTGGGCACTTATGTTCTCGTTACGGCGGCGCGCGATCCGTCCTCCTCTTGCTTCTTACCACCAAGGTGACCTCAGTTGGGGTGCCCAAGTGCCACGCCTGCTATATCGCGGTGAGCATTGGGCCACCAACAGGGACAGGTCTGGGGGCCGAAACGAGCAAACCGCTTGAGGCATCCCCACAATCTGAACGCGAACGGGCACGTGAGATTACCCATGGCGCCTACCCCTTGGGAGTGCTGAAACCAGCGCTTCGCTTGAGACACTCCCACAATCTGTCCGAAATCAGAGGATGTTGGGGGCAGAAACAGTCAGAGGCCAGCAACATATGTACACGCACGCGGTTAGCTTCCCCTGGAGTGCGTGTCAACGCGGACGTTCGTGCAGGCAAGACCGCGGAGGGCGTACATGTACATATGTCGTTCGCCCAAACAGGCAAACCGCTTGAGCCATTCCCACAATCTGAGCGCGAGTTTTTGAGTGTCCCAACTCCTGGTGGCCGCCTCTTGAGAGTGCCGAGGCCAGCGCCTCGCCTGAGACATCATCACAGTCTGCTCCGAAAGTAGAGGATGCTGGGGGGGGGGGGCAGAAACAGAGGCACGAGGCTTGGAGTGTCCCAACCTCTGGCGGCCCATTTAGGAGTGCTGAGACCAGCGCCTCGCCTGAGACATCCTCGCAACCTGCGCCGAAAGCAAAGGATACTGGGGGCAGAAACAGGCAACCCGCTTGAGGCATTCCCACAATCTGAGCGCGAGTTCTGGAGTGTCTCAACGCCTGGCGGCCCCTTTTTGGGAGTGCTGAGACCAGCACCTCGCCCGAGACATCCTCACACTCTGCTCCGAAAGCAAAGGAGGTTAGGATGCAGAAACAAGCAAACAGTTTGAGGCATCCCAACAGTCTAGGCGCGAGTTTTGGAGTGGCCCCACCCATAGCGGCCCCACCTTGGGAGTGCTACCAACGCCTCGCCTAATACATCCTCACAGTCTGTGAGTGAGTCTGAGTCTGGGTCTGAGTCTGAGTCTGAGTCTGAGTGAGCTTGAGTGAGGAAGTGGTGTGATTGAGTCTGAGTGAGTTTGAGTCTAAGTGAGTCTGTGATGGACCATGTGAAGAAGAGTGGGTATGTGATGGGCCTCGTGATGGGTATGAGTGGTCTGAGTGTGGGTATCTGGGTGATATGAGGGTGAAGAGGAGCGAGAGGAGGAGAAGGATGAGAGTGAGAAAGATGAAGAAGGCCCAGGGGCGTCTGAGTGATAACACGAACCCCGTCTTAGGATATGGGGCAAAAGGAGGTGCGTGCGGCGGGCTGACTGTTTAGAACTATTGGTGCTCGGCGTGTGCTTCTTTACATTGGCATTCGAGTCCCGCAGCCCGCGCAAGGCTGCCCCAGCGCCGCCTCACTCTTGTCCGACAATTGTTGGGCTCAGGTATTTCCCAACCTGTGTTGGGTTCTCGTTTGTCCCAATAATGATGAGTTGGTCCTCGTTTTGAATAGAGCACTTTTCGCGCGTCTTCCCCACCCCCTCCTCCCCCTACTGCGCAACTGTCGCCATTTTCGTGGGCTCCTGGGAGGCCCTGCGGAGTGGGGGAGTACGCACATCCAGCCGAGACTTCGCGACTCCTTGGGTGGCTGCGAACTGCGCAGCAGTCGCCATTCTCGTGGGCTCCTGGCAGCCGAGACCTCGCGGCTCCGTGTGGGGCTGCGCACTGCGCAACGGTCGCCACTTCCGTGGGCTCCAAGTAGGCCCAGCCGAGTGGGGAAGTACGCGCATCTGGCCGAGTCCAGGCGGCTCCCTGGGAGGCAGCAAGCAGCGTAATTGCCACCACTTTCGTGGGCTCCTGGCGGGCACAGCAGAGGTGAGGGCAGCGCAGACCACTTCGAGACCTCGCGTCTCCGCGGGGGGCTGCGAACAGCGCAACTGTCGCCGCTTTCGTGCGCTCCTGGGAGGCACGGCGGAGGTGAGGGCAGCGCAGATCACTTGGAGACCTCGCGGCTTCTGGGGTCTGCGAGCTGCGTAAACGTCGCCAGTTTCGTGGGCTCCCGTGAGGCTCGTCGAAGGTGAGGGCAGGGCAAATCGTTTGAGACCTCGCGGCTCCCTTGGGGTTTGCCAACAAATCAACTGTCGCCACTTTCACTGGCTCCTGGGAGCCACCGCTGAGTGCAGGGCGCGCACATGGCGCGTGCCCAAATGGCGCGTGGCGCTGTCGCGTCATTTAGTGCGTGGCGCTGTTGCATCACAGAGCGCAGAGCGCCGGAACGTCACGTCGCGCATGGCGTTTTCCTCAGTGGCCCACTCCTGCACAGGTGTGCGACGCGCGTTGCCCTACAGTGTTAGGTGAAGAACTTCTGAGTGCTGCATATCTCGCAATGTGTTCTTTTGTATGGAGTGCTCATATAAATACTCGACGTGCGTGGAGAAGGCGTTTGGTACGTCTCGGGTAATGAATAGAGCACTGTGGTCTCTATCCTTCCTTCCTTCTTTCCTTCCTTCCCGCCTCCTCCTAATCCTCCTCCTCCTCCTCCTCCTCCTCCTCTTCGTCCCCCTCCTCCTCTTCGTCCTCCTCCTCCTCCTCCTAATCCTTCTCCTCCTCCTCCTCCTCCTCCTCCTCTTCCTCCTCCTCCTCCTCCTCCTCCTCCTCCACCTCCTCCTCCTCTTGCTTCCTCCTCTTCATCCCCCTGGCGGCTCCCTGCGGGGCTTCGAACTGCGCAGTTGTCACCACTTTCGTGGGCTCCTGGGTGGCCCAGCGGAGTGGTGGAGTACGCGCATCGAGCCGAGACCTCGCAGCTCTCTGGGAAGCTACGAACAGCGCAACTGTCGCCACGTTCGCAGGCTTTGGGGAGGCCCAGCTGAGTAGGGAACTGCGCACATCCAGCCGAGGCCTCGCAGCTCCCTGGGGGACTGCGAACTACGCAATTGTCGCTTCTTTCGTGGGCTTCTGGGAGGCCCAGCGGGGTTGGGAAGTACTCGCAACCAGCCGAGACCTCGCGGCTGCCTGGCAGGCAGCGAACTGCGCGAGTGTCGCTTCTTTCGCGGTCTCCTGGTAGGCACAGCTGAGCAGGGGAGTACGCGCATCCAACCGAGACCTCGCAGCTCTGTGGGGGGCTGCGAAGTGCGCAGTTGTCGCCATTCTCGTGTGCTTCTGGGAGGCCCGGCGGAGTGGGGGACTACGCACATCCAGCCGAGATCTCGCACCATGGGGGATCACGAACTGCGCAACTGTCGCCACCTTCGCGGGTTTCTGGGAGGCCCAGCTGAGCAGGGGAGAACGCACATCATTTGAGACCTCGCGGCTCCATTGGGGGGGTCTGCGAGCAGCGCAATTGTCGCCACTTTCATGAGCTCCTGGGATGCCCAGCGGAGTGGGGGAGAACGCGCATCCGGCCGAGACCCCGCGGTTCCTTGGGTTGCTGCGAACTGCGCAACAGTCGCCGCTTTCGTTGGCTCCCAGTAGCCCCAGCGGAGTGGGGGAGCACGCACATCCAGCCGAGACTTCGCGTCTCCCTGGGGGGCTGCGAACAACGCACTTGCCGCCACTTTCGTGGACTCCTGGGAGATCCAGCGGAGTGGAGGTGTCTGCGAGGTCTCGGCGTCCTGGGGGATTGCGCATTTGTTGCCGCTTTCGTGGGCTCCTGGGAGGTCCGGCGGAGTGGGGAAGTACGCGCATCTAGCCGAGACCTCGCGTCACCCTGGGGGGGTGCGAACTGCGCAACAGTCGCCACTTTCCGCTGGGCTCCCAGGAGGCCCAGCGGCGTGGGGGAGTAGGGACAGCCAGCCGAAGCTTCGCGGCTCCTGCGCACTGCGGGTCCTTCGACGTGTTCGTTGGTATTGGGCGGTCCAGGGTATAGTCGCCACATGTTTAGAGAGGGCTAGGTACGCCGCATTGCAATTATGGGTTCAGATGGATTCAGCATTTCCTTCTGATGTAAAGCTCGCCGCATTGCCCCAGCGTGGACCACGAGGGCAGACTACACGCATTACGTTATGCAGAGTGCATCTGCCACAGGGGGCGCAACCATGCATGCGCAAGTAGTAGCCCACGGCGCATGATCTGTGAACAGTTGGGAGCATCGCCAGGGGATGTTACGTGTTGCAGGGTGCCAAAGAATAGCTTAGGTCATTTGCTAGTTTGCATTGCACAGTTTCTGCGATTGCGGCGGAGGCGACAAATCACAGAGGGCCCGCTTAAGGAAGGTATGTTCTTGCTGAGAGGAGAAATGAATTGTGTGATTTATCTTAAGCCTGGGTGGAGATGGGCGGAGGCAGGGTGAATGGTAATTCCTGCATCGCTCTGCAGGAATACTGATGCATCTGGATTTGCCAGCCTTGAATTCAACCAGGAGCTTGCGTTTAATTAGCTTGCCTGTTATGTCCGTTGTCATCGTTCGCATATTCATCGTCTTTCCCCCCTCATTGAGTACCCTCCTACTACCCCTTCCACGTCCCACCGTCCTATCCCCGTCCACTGCTCCTCCGCCGCCTCCCCCCCTGCTCCTTCTCATTCTCCCCCAGTTTCTCCCGCTCATTCCGCTCCTGCTCACGTTCTTCCTGATGCCCGTCACTGCCCGGATCCATCCGTGGCACGATTCATTCCCGATCTTCGTCCCCTCTCCCGCCCCTGTCCGCCCTCTCGATACTACGTATCAGCACCCCCTCCTCCTCCTCCTCCTTCTCCTCCTCACCCTCCTCTTCCTCCTCCTGCTCCTCCTCCTCCTCCTCCTCCTCCTTCTCCTCCTCCTCCTCCTCCTCCTCCTCCTCCTCCCCCATTTGTCGCCTTAGCCTTTTTTCTCCATCGCCTCGCTAGGCTGCAGCCCCCACTCCCTTGCTCCCTTCTGTCCAGCGATGGGGAGAGGAAGAACAGGAAGAGGCTGAGCCCTCGAGTCGTAGGGCCTCTTAGCTTAAACCTTCCTGTGGGGATCTTTGGGGCCTCTTCGGCCGTCTTGGGTGGTCGGAATCCCGAACAGGCGAGAACGGTAGAAATCATTCAAAATTTTGTGTTGGAAGCCCATGATTTCCACATTTGGGGGCCTTCTTAGACACATTCGCTGGGGGCACTCTCGGAGCGTCTTGGCGGCCTCTTGGGCCGTCTGGAGGGCATGTTGGGCGTCTTGGACGCTCCTCCGGCAGACTCGGACCCCTCCTGGACCGTCTCAGCGCCCTCTGGCTTCGGGAGAGTCGCCCTCTGGCTTCGAAAGAGTCGTCCTGGCGCCCTCTGGCTTCGGGAGAGTCGCGCGACATGTGGCAGAGTCCTGCGGCCTGCCCGTGCGAGTGGGGCCCGTGGGCCCCCCGTAAGAGCACGCAGCCACAACGCTCACGGAGAACTCGGAGGGACCTGGGGACACTGCACTCGGTGCCTCAGAGGAGAAAGAGGTACCGGTACTTCAGACGAGAAAGAGGCACTGAGGTACTCAGTGCCCCGTTCTCACCTTTTTGGGCCTCCTGGGAGGCCCTCGTCGCCACCGCTGGATTCGCCTCGAAATTCTTTCAGAACGCACCCCGGGAGAGGTCCAGGCAGTACGTGGCGGCATCGGTACCTTTTGTGTTTTCCCCCAACTCGGTGCCTCTGGCACGGTGGCGGAGACAGATGTTGCCCGGTGTTGCCCCAAGAAACCCACGCCGTTATTCTCCCCTATGTTTTTCTTGGTTGCGTCTCATTGGATTGGCAATGGATGTTGATACATAGATATATATACAAAACATACAAAGACATACATACATGCATGCATGCATGCATACATACATCCATACACACATACATGATATACAGACATACACACACGTATACATGCACACAAATACATCCATGTATACATACATACATACGTACGTATGTACGTACGTACGTACATACATACATACGTACGCACGCACGTGCGTACGTACATACATACGTACACATATACATGCATGCATGCATGCATGCATGCATGCATGCATGCATTCATACATGCGTACATGCATACATGCATACATGCATATATGCATACATGCATATATATATATATATATGTGCATACAACATATATGCATGTATACATACGTACACCCATACATACACATGCAGACATCATGCGCATACTCACACACATGCATGCATACATACATACACACATGCATACACGTATATACATATATACAAACTTTCAGATTTACATACATGCATACATGCACACACATGCAGATAGTCATACACACCTGATTACATACATACATGTATACATACATGTATGCATACATGCGTACGTGCATACATACAAATATATATACACATACATATATGTGTGGATATGTATACACATACATATACATGCACGCATGCATGCATGCACATCTACATACATGCATACATACATACATACAGACAGACAGACAGACAGACATACATACAACCATACATACATACATACATACATACACACACATACATACACACATGCATGCATGCATGCATACATACACACACATACCTACACATACACATACTTACACACATACAGACATACATACATACATACATACATGCATGCGTACATACCTACATAGATACATACATGCATACCAGTCATAAGTATATATGTAAATGCATAGATGCACATGTATGTACATCGATATAGAAATCGAGAGATAACATAACAAACACAAGCAACACAGAAAGACGGGTGGATGCACATCCCGCCAAAGTGTTGGTTTTCACTCCGTTGGGGGTCCTTTTTTCTTGCAGTCGACGGGCCCTCCTGCGCCGCAGGCGGACAGGGTCCCGGTTGGGGGGCCCTGTGGCTGGTGCCTGTGCGGTGGTGCCCTCTGGCGGGCCCTCCATGCCGCAGTCGGCCGTCCCCAGTCGATGCACTACGGCACTATGGTCGACTGGTGCTCTTCTCAAGATAGGAAAAAGCACCTTTGACTGGACAATTGGCGTTTACTAAACGGCCTTGGGCGTTTACTGAACAGCCTTGCCCTGTTTGATTCCTTCTTTTGGTGCGTTTACTAAACGGCTTCGCATGTCGGGGTGGTTATTATCGGGGTGGATTTTCTGCCCTCGATCTTCGGGGCCCTCGGGGCCTCGATCGGCCCATCCTGCTCGGTGCCTGCGGTCCATGCGCTGCGCGTCGGCGCCTCACGGTGGGCCCTCCGTGCCCGCCCCGTGGCCGGGGGCCCTCTGAGCCACGGCGGGCCGTGCTCCCCGTCGGGAGCGCCGTGCGCTGGCGGCCTATGGTCGGCCCGCTGGGGCAGCAGTCGGTCGTTCTTGGCCGGCGCCCTCTGGTCGGTGCGCCTGTGGTTCCGCGTGGCCCCGGTCGGCCGTTCTCCTGCTCTGTGCTCCGCCCTGCTTTTGAGGCCCCTTTGATGCCCTCGTCCGCCCCGCCTGGCCGCCGCTGTCTCCGCCGTACCATTGCGGAGCGATCCGCTGTATTTTGTTTCTGAGGCGGAAGTTTGCGCCCTTTTTCCTGTATCCTACGGGGTGCATCTCCGACACAGCTTTATGTCGGATGGGGCTAGGACGACGAGAAAAGCGTTCCAGAGCGGCCCGGAACGCTCTCAGAGCGTTCTGGAACGCTCTGAGAAGGTCGCGGCGCCGGTACATCCTCCGGAGCCGCTGGCTCAAGTTCTGGCTCAAGCCGCCACGGGTCAAGCCGCCAGGAACCGCCCCCGATCAGAAGCCCTGCCAAGGGTGGGGTGCCGTCCTTCTCCTTCATCTCTCACGCTTTACCACTTTCGTCTCGTTTCCCATCCAATCCCATCCCATGGCGGCGCACCAGGGGTTCCCGATGGCTGCTGTCGCGCCGACGATCGAGGACACGGACGACGGCTCCGGCGCCACGCAGGCCCTGGCGACCTTGCACGTGGGCGCTGCCGCCGACCCCAGGGCGGGCCAGCCGCCCGGCGAGGGACCCGCGGCTGCTGCCCCCGCGCCGCCCCCAGGCCTCCTGCAGGAGCCCCTCGCCGAGCCCATGCTCGCGGAGCTGATCGAGCACGAGATTTTGTCGAACTTCGAGATCGTGCAGGCGGCACGCAGGGTTGACGGGCAGACGGTCGTGCCCCGCTCTCTGGATTCGCGTTCGGAGTTCACGCTGGCCTTGAAGTCGCTCGCGTACAACCCTGCGGCTGCCGACGCGTGGAGCATCCTCGGCCTCTCGCCGATGGAGGGCCCGGACCTCTCCCTGAACACCATCGGGGCCCGCCTCCGCTTTGCCAAGCTCCTCGCTTCCATGATCGACACCACGCCATGGCCACCAGCCGACAGGGCAGAGGCGCATGAGGACATCGCGAAGATCACCCAGGCGGCCACGACCTGCTTCTCCTCCTTCGACAGCTGGCTCAGGGAGCGCAGGCGGGCCCGCCCTTCAAAGCTCCCCCTGTGGCACGAGCTCGGCCACCGTGCTCTCCTCGCGGTCCTCGACACCGCCCCGGACGCCTCCGAGGTCGTCTGCACCCAGTGGCCCGCCCTCCTGGACACAGCCGCGCTCCCGACGACCATGCAGTACCAGGGCCGGATCGCGCCCACGAGCGAGGCCCGCATCTTGGCCGACCTGGCGGAAAAGGGCGACCCCTCCTTTTGGGACGCGGTCAGGGCTAGCGGCAAGCCGCTTTCACTCTGGGCTCCAGCTGGCGCCTCGGCGCTCGGCCGCCTCTTGGCTTCGCTCCTGCGCCGCTCAGCGGTCGAGGCGCCGTGCCAGTACATCCGCTTCATCGTCCCTTTGGACCTCCACCCGGGGTGCACCACGAGCGAGACGATCTGCGACTTGTGGTGGCACGATTTCCTGAGCGAGAACTGGGCGGCGATGATTCGGAACGTCGAGTTCCACCCGCAGCCCATGGAGTTCGTCTCCCCAGGACCCTCGGGACCCCGCCACGAATTCCGAGGTCTGGCGATCTTCACGGTATCCTCCACCCTCCCTCGACGACACCACCAGGTCTGCGAGCTGGAGTCGCCCATCCTCACATTGGAGGCTGCCCCGACCTACGTCGTGGACTTCCCTTCGATGCTCACGGTGGAGGTCATGCATGCGTTGCTCGACGTCGCCGGCCAGTCGGCGCAAATCGGGCGGATTTACCGCAGCCCTGGGCACTCGGAGGAGACCCCGCGGGGCAGGGTGGAGATCCGGTTCGCTCTCCACACGCCGCGCCTGGAGCAGGAGTTGCGGATGCGCCAGGTCCGTCGTCTCTTGCCCGCTGGCGTCTGCTTCGCCTCCCAGGACCTGTTCACCGAGCCCGGCGCCCTGATCGCAGAACTCGGCCACGCGGACGCCATCACTTCGATTTGGAGCCTCTGCTCAGGAGCTTTGTTCCTGGACAAAAGCCGGCTCCTCCTCACGACGGAGGCCGCCGCTGAGACGTGGCAGGT